CTGCCTAGGCAGAAAAAGTTTGTCGCTATGCAACGTTTCAAATAATAATTCGAATTAAATTGGTAATCAAAATTGACAATGTCTTTAGGTGAACACAAAATGATGGATTATTCGGAGTTTTCGTGAAATTGGACGATTTTGGAGAAAACATTATATGTTTCACACGGCAGAAAAGCAGATTCAATGCCTTGGCTGAATTCATAGCCGAGCTTAGCGCGGCATGAAATCTTGTGCTTTCCTGCCAAGTAAAACAAATAACTATTGTTTTACTAGGCATAAATAAAGCACAAGATTTAATGTCGCGGTTGGCGTTTCGGAGCCAAGGCGTAGCCGAGGCTAGGAAACCATACAAGGCATTGAATCTCTATTTCTGCCAACACACGTAAATATTTGTTTCAAATGGAATAAATGTATCGAACTCATGAGAAAAATATACTGAAACAATTATTTCTCATCCACTTGGCGAACAATGTGAACCTAATGATCTCAAAACTTATTTAGTACTAGATTTCATCAGAAAGTACTTTGGTTCTGAACATCTTTGAAAAGAACTAAATCTAGTACTAAAATACTGACTGGAACAGCCCTGGTTAACATAGTAACGCCCTCGTTTGATCAAAGGCCGAACCTAGAGTGTACTGCTCGTGAAAATTTGCAGTTTCCTCCACTTTTTACACATTCGTTCTATAGAGTACTGTGAAACTTCGCTAGATGTCGTTACTAGTATCATCTCTGGGACTACTTATATTATCCATATATTTGAATATTTCAGTGACAGTGACCTGTAATATGAAGGCATTCTATTATTACTATAAATAGTTTATGTTTCGCCTATTTTATATATACAGGGTATTTTATAGTGTAGTGTTAATCACAGAGGTCTTTAAGATTATTCGAATAAGACCGTTCCAAGATATTTGGTGCCCATAGGCTACCAATAGTGATGAGCCCCACGACCGTGCTAAAATATACAGAGGGGACCGGTGGCGTTTTGGAACAACAAAATTATCAATGTCAGATATTATAGTCTATGCAAAGTCAGTTGAAATGCGGCCCACGGTTTTTTTCATCGGTTGTTCTAATTGACTTTGCTTAGACTTTACCAATCAACAAATGAATATACAGGGTGTATCTGAATAACACCGAAAAAATTCGAGGGGTTATTCCTTGTGATATTTTAGGAAATGAAATTCACATAGACATGTGTCCTAACTTCCTTAGGACAGGGTCGTATTAATATGTCCATGAAAAATATTTTTTCTATTTATTTCTCAATTGTCCTTTCATCAGTTCCAATAAAACGTTGTGGTTTTGTTAATAGTAATATGGTGCTTCTTCTAGTGCAATTAGATTTGAAATAATATTTCCAGTGGCGTCACAGTGGGTAAATTCATCGATAATCATGGTGAATGTCATTGTACATCAGCAACACTCTTTCATGGGATAATCATGTCAGATCCATCGCAAAAGCTGCTTCACAAAAACTCTGATTCTTGTTCCGTGCGAAAAGCTACTTGACACCTCAACAGCTTCTCATGATCTACAAAGCGCAGATACGGTCTGTTCTAGAATACTGTTCCCACATATGGGGTTCAGCACCAGAACATACTCTGATGCTCTTAGATTCCATCCAGAGAAGAGCCATTCTCCTGGTGGGCGACCTTTCACTTTTCTATCGATACTTCCACGGATGTGTGTCGGAAATCTCTGCTATCATCCCTTCACTAGCAATACCAGTCAGACGAACTAGACAAGCCCAGTCAGTACATCCTTTCGTTGTCAACCTCGAAAGATGTCGAACAGCACTTTATCAAAACTCCTTCATCCATAGAACGGCTAGGCTCTGGAATTCATTGCCTGAGGAAGTATTTCCAACAGCATATAATATCCAGAAGTTGAAAAAAAATCCAATACCTACCTCCTGTCCCTATCCTCCCTAGGAACACACGATGTTTTTTGAACATTATAGGAATTTCCTTTCGTGCGCTCCAAGCGATAAAAAAAACTTGTGAACAAAATATCACATAACTACCAACTACACCACTGATTGGTGCAAACTGACATGTTTGGTTATGAATGAATTAGTTACTGAGAAATGTTTGTTTTTGCACGGGTTGTCTATTTTACTCATACAAAATATATAGGATATGTCCCACTTTGTGCAGATGTCTCGACACCGATGGATGTTGATGATTCTAAGGATAAAGATCTGATGGTTACTTTGATTTTGAATTTTTCTTGACATGTTCGGTTTTGGATGCGCCCTTCTCATCAATAGGGTGTTCGAATTCCAAGATATCGGCTGATGATTTTTTTTTAAATAGACATCCTATATATTATTGCATTTTTGCGTTCTCCCGGAAGAGCTGATTTCATAAATATATCATATAGGGTGTTCAAAATCGAGAATTTTCAACTTAAGGATTCTTTTGTGTTGAAACTATTCATTATTGGTCAAAACAGCTTAGAATTCTTGAACTACTCTGTATTTGTTTCAATTGAATGTCAGTAGATAGTAAATCAGAAGTTGAGATAGGGACATGTGAGCTGTTTTCACCAATAATGAATAGTTTGGACAGAAAATAATCCTAAAGTTGAAAAATATCGATTTTGAAGACCTTACATCTCTGTAATCATTTCCGCTAGACCCCAAGTTTGATAGATCGATGAAATCAGCTCTTCAGGAAAATCCTAAAAATGCAATAATATACAGGGTGTCCTATTAAAAAAACATCATCAACCGATATCTTGGAATTCGAACAACCTGTAGATATAAAAATAACTTTAGGTGATAGATCTCATGAAACCCTATAACTGTTCTATTTCTATATATTTGACGGTTTGGCCAATATCGAAGGAGAACACACTATTGACTCACCCTGTATATTGATTAAATTGAAATGACATCATTTTCATGCATATTCACGAAAGTTAATTGTCATACGAATTTCAGAGCAGTACCTTCCAAAGATCTTGAAATATTTCTAAATATAATGTGACACTGGCCACATCTTCAAACTGTCAGCTGACTCAGAAAAATGCAGGTTTTGTTTCTAAGTCCTTTTAAGAGACGTAAATGGGTTAATTGGGTCAGAATCAAGTATACATAAAATTTCCGGCCGAGAGCTTCTGCATAAGAAATTGAACAAGCTAACCTTAATCGGCCCAAATGAACCTTCTTCCTAAAAAGAATATTTTTCGAAAAATTACTTGAGAAAACAGAATAAAAAAAAAACGTTTATTGCAAGCATTAAACCCGGGTCGCCGGCGTAGAGCTCAAATACTTTAGCAACTACGCCACGAACGTACCTGATGATTGGTGTATGATAGTCGCTGTAGTTCTGTAGTTGCGCTGGGGCACCCTCACCGCGATGATTTATCCTGTCTGTAGGCGCTTGTCGAACTTACATTCTGTTCGCTTGCAGAGCACTCTCTGCAAACATCCCGTGATAATGCTACAGGATGTGTCGTGGACCTTTTTCCGTAAAGTCAATAACAAACTTTTGAGAACTCCTACTGCCTACTCCAAATGAAGGAATCCTCCAAGTTTTGTTTGAAGACGATGAAGATGAATAATGAACAATCATGAAACACTTATTAACCTCACACATTCAGATTCATCGCATTCGTCGGTCAAAATTCTCCGAGCTTGAAGATCATTGTAGTATCGCTTCGATTATAATCGCCGAACTGTTGAGATTTTCCTACCCTCTCATCCTTTGGAATAAATAAGGAATGATACAGATTAGAGATAGTTCGACTTGCCAAAGAAGGCCGTGGACGAATGGGAGATGATGAAAACGTTCAGTACGCTGTTCTTAAAGTATCTAAACAATTTGGTTTTGCAGATTACGTCGCTTTCATCAAGTCACGAACGATATGACTGACTGCACGTTTGAACTGATACCACCATTTCTAGTGAGCGCTTGGATTTCAGTGTTCAAATTGAAAGTGAGTTGATGATCGCAACATTTATATTGGGCATCCGAGCCAAAGAGCTACTCAGCCTCAGCCAACCAGAGCTAAAGCTTATCACAGGCTTTCTCATAGGACACTGCCCTCTGAGGTATTACCTCAAAAAGATGGGCCTGGCGGAAACTGACACTTGCCGCTTTTGCAACAATACGACCGAAACCGCGGAACACTTTGCTCATGTAAAGTATCAGTCCGCCCCAGAGGATGAATCACCTAGAACAGGTCTATCTCACACCTGCTGAGGTGGAAAATTCAATCGTCAGGAAAATGCTAGGCTTCATGAGGTTCTAGGGTTAGAGGACCAAAACTAGACAATAGATCTTCTAGGTCGCAGTGATTGAGAGGTCTCCCAGCCTTTACGACCCATCTACAATCTACAATCTAGACTTCCACGTAGACGTTAACGTACGAAAAATATTGTAGACGGATTTTCTTCGAATTGAGTTGAATTCACTAGTGTCATCGTAACGTATCGTAATAATAAATTTTGTTTTCGGTTTATATTGGTCGTTATTTGTTCTGATCTGAACATTTATTCGTTTTAAAATGAGCGGAATCTTCATAATGCAGAACTCTTTGGAGATCCTGACTATGATAATCTTGACTCAATGGCATACGCAAGATAACATACACCCCGAAGCCCACTACCAACGCAAACGTGAAAAAACGGGAAATGCGCATGCTTTACCTATCAATTTTCTACGGTTATAGGGACGATAGAAATCAAACACATAAATATAGTGTCGATGATCTATATTCAATTATCTTCAAAAGATTAACTCACAATTATTTCCGGCAGACTCGCAACATCCTAGCTTTTGTTTATATAAAACACGAAACTGTGTTTATGAAAATACCCTCACTCAGCTAGACAATTACGGCCATCTGAATCCTACTGGTTTGATGTTTATAGTTCAGTGACTCGCGTTTTGGTTTTTGCCTTACTGATATTATATTCAAGACAACTTCATACCAATCTGAGCGCTCCGACGTAAATACCGAACTTACCTTCTGTTTGCTTGCAGAGCACACCCTGTAAACACCCCGTGATAGTGCTGCAGGATGTGGCGTGGACGGACCTGCACGCGCTCGTCGAGTTCATCTACCACGGCGAGGTGAACGTGCACCAGAGGTCGCTGTCGTCGTTCCTCAAGACGGCCGAGGTGCTGCGCGTCAGCGGGCTCACGCAGCAGCACGGAGATAGCCGCGACCAGGTGAGACTATTGTTGTTCTTGTCATTACTTTTGTAATACATCTACAGGGTGGAGACTTCAACTGGAATAAATTCGCTACTGGGGCAGTGAATGATTATTCTGGAAATTCGCGAGACACTTCAACGTTCAAATGTATTCACCTAGATTTGGCGGGCAATATGGAGAATATAACCCTTCAGGGGTCAGGTAGCCGTGCGGACAGAGTGTCAATATTCTAATCCGCATTCGCTTGCCGGTCGTGGGTTCGATTTCCATCGACTGCAAGAAAGTGTTTGGGATCACACGTTAAAAGGTAAGGCCCCCGTCATTCCTTGCTCGCACAAGACTCTCGAAGACTTCTGAGGGTTGCTCGTAAGGGGGCAACCGAATGACGGATAGAACAATTTTAGAACAATTTTTAGGGGTACCCCAACATGTTTTTTCCAAATGCAAACCCTATGGCTTGCGACCCCTCATTGGAAAGCTGGCTGAAAGAGGAATCCAGCGTACTGATCATATTTCAGTTTGCAGTACGTTTGGGCAACGCATTAAAACAAAATATAATTTCGAAGTTCAATATAATTATTTTCAATGTATTTTTATCGATGTTTCGACTTTTAGTGACAGTGATATAGGGCATTTCCACCAGTTTGCAATAACACTTCGTTTCGAACTGTGAATACATCGAAAAAACTAAATTTATTCTTGCGGCTCTATAAAAACACTGCAATACAATAGCAGATAGCAGTTGTATTAAAACATTGGAGAGATATATTTTCGATATTGCTTGCAAAAAGTAGGTAATAACATTAAATCGTTGACGTGTGTCGGGAATTTCCAGAAAAAATATTCACCTCCTCGCTAACGAATTTATTCCAGTTAAAGTCTCCACACTGTATTACTTTGTCACAGAGGTAGTTACGTTATTACGATTTGTCATGAATCTATTACTATTCGCTGTTAGCTCCAAAATATGATGTTTGATCTATTACTGTGTTCAGCGAGGGTAGTACTCGGCCAGCATCTCACTTTCTTAGTTGCCATTTGCCATCATGGAGCGATGTACGCTAAAGTAACGCGTGTTCGTTATTGTTATTTCACGAACACTTGATTCCTATGCCCCGTCTTTTAGAAGTATGCAAGAAGAACACACTGACCAAAAAGTTCACTGAGAAACTGTGGTAAGTGGCATATGTGAAATTGAAATGCTTCGAGTCCAGGAATGGATTGTAATAAACAGCGCGCCCCGCGCCCCGCCCTTATTCAATGGCCGAGTACTACCCAAACCAAAAAACCAAAAATACTTGGTTCCAATGCCCCATCCTGTATATGTATTATGTACCATTCATCACTTTTCGATCATACACCATAAAAGATATGTGAATTTTTTATGCGCACATGATAGTTGAAATTGTCGATCGATCTTCGTATAAAAATAATCGGTCGGCGAAAAAGGTCGATCTCTCAGGATCGATTTCAGAATCGTCTTTCTTAATCCAGCAACGAATGAGATCTCCAAAGGTAGGCAGTAGATACACGAAGTCCATAACTCTCATTCAAATCGAATCAGATAGTTTTCTTCTGGTTTTTTAGCAACCATTCCACCCCTATTCACCCTCTTATCAAAATAATTGCAAGCCGGTAATTCCGATTCAGTGTAAAATAGTCTTCATAATATTATTATTATTGCTGGGTCGCGGCTCTAGTCAATGAAAATAAAATAAATAGCAAAATAAATGTAACATTCTCAAGAGGTTGTTACCTAGTTTGAAAAACATCACAAAAATGACCATTACACTCCTAGAGATTTACCTTAGGACCGCCCCTACATGCCTTCCCATAGGGGTCTAGAACATGACTGCAGTTTTCTTGATAAGGTGAACAGTGCATTATTTATTATTGAATTTTCGATGTATCTTCGGCTGATTGAATGAATTCATTACTATTATTATTATAATAAATATTATTAGTGGTAGTATTATTATTAAAAAGGACCGCCCGCTTCCGCTTTCTAGTTGGCCCAAGTCCAGAGCATGATCAGACCGCCGCAGCTGCCCACCCCCGTCTCCAACCACTTCGACAAGCACCATCCCGACGACCCGCCCCCGCCACATTTCGCCGCCCCCGCCTCGCCGCCGCACGGCGCTACCGTCAACCAGATACTGCGCCGCGCGGCCATGCAGTACCGGCGCGAGCGGCGCATATCCGCCGAGCCGGTGGAGGGGGCGGAGCACAAGCGCCTCAGGGCGGAGCACCTGTTGATCGGGAACAACAATAATAATAACGACTTGTTGCATCCGCCGCAAACGCAGCCTGCGGATTTTTCGCCTAGTGGGATGAAGAACAACGTGCTCAATTTGAATGTGAACTCGACGATAAAGAACGATATTGAAGGTGAGTCATTCATTCCGAGTGTTTTTCCTTAGGTGTGGTGTATTTTGTAATATTCATTATACCTTCATTATACAATGAAAAAACCACCTCGGTATTTGTATGGGTAGGTATGGATGGTGACAAGTGCCCTGCGACCTGATTAGATCTATTGTGCCCCATAATTTTCTGCTATCTCAAGGTTCTCTTGTTTATAGCAGCCCCTCAGACTTCAGGTCTTTCAGGAATTTGAGGATTTCCAGAGGATCTGTTCGTGGTATTTCTGTCACTATTTGCTCGTATGGTCCCAGTATATTCGATCTTTTGTGATGTACTGCATTACACTCCAGCAAGATGTAGTGGGGTGTTTCTAGATATTTCTCGAAGAATCTGCAGATGCTGTGCTCCTCTAAGCCTAACATCCTAAGAAGTTTTTCGAGTCTACAATGCCCCGTTAAAAATATCGTCATTGCCTTGAGACGAATTTTGATGAGGTTATTCAGTATCTTCGATCCTGCTCGGTTGAAATCGCCGAGGAGATCTTTGTCCTGCAGCAGTCCTGAAAGTCGTCGCTAGTATGTTGCTCTCGTCGCTTCCTCAGCTTCAATAAGTTCTTCTTGAAAATGAGGAATTTTCAAGGCCGCATAATGGTTCTGGTTCGATCAGTGGCGTTGATGCTTCTTTTCGTGGGGCCGGTGGAGGGGGCAGAACACAAGCGCCTCAGGGCGGAGCACCTGCTGATCGGGAACAACAATAATAATAACAAAGACTTGTTGCATCCGCCGCAAACGCAGCCTGCGGATTTTTCGCCTAGTGGGATCAAGATTTTGCAGGTGCTGTGCTCCTCTAAGCCTAACATCCTTAAAAGTTCTTCGAGTCCACAATGTCCCGTTAAAAATATCGTCATTTCCTTGAGACCAATTTTGCTTCATGAAAGATGAAAGGACTTGCACCGGAGACGGTGTTATTGACTTATTTTTTTGAACTAGCACAATAAAAGCCATCAACAGTGTGTATATACAGGGTGGCCCAGGGTTAAACCGCCGAACGTTTAGGATCAGTTTTTTCAGGAAAAAATAAGACTTTTTCTTCCTACAAGCATGTGTCCTAACTTGCTTCGGTTTAGAGATACAGTGTGTCAAAGTTTTTAGAGAAAATCAGTTTTTTATCAATCACTCAAAAACCTTTGGGCTGATTTTGATAAAACTTGGCATGCTCATTTGAGGTAATAAGGGGCTCCTGTTGACTGTTTACCTAGAATAAAATAAGTATTTCCAGGAGCGTCCCAGAGGGTAATCTATCTAATATTGATATAAATCATTGTAGGCCACTGTTTTTATGTTTATTTGTTAAATGAATTTTTCAAAAATACAATTTTTTTGTCATCGATTCTTCTTGTATTCATTGATTTTTTTGAAAAAATTCAATAGCAATTTTGTATAAAGCTGCGAAAAAATTGAATTCCACGGAACACGTGGCGTACAATGATTTAATATTAGATTATAGATAGATTACTCTCTGGGACGCTACTGGAAATAATAATTTCATTCTAAGTAAACAGTAAACAGGAGCCCCTCATCACCTCAAATGAGCATGCCAAGTTTTATCAAAATCAGTCCAAAGGTTTTTGAGCAATTAATGAAAAACTGATTGATTATAAAAACTTCGACACCCTATATCTCTGAAATGAAGTAAGTTAGGACACATGCTTATGGGAAGAAAAAGTCTTATTTTTGCCTAAAAAACTGATCCTGAACGTTTGGTGGTTTAACCCTGGGTCACCCTAGTAGGAGCCCTGGTAGGATGGATGACCCTCACCTCTCCACCCAACCACGTGACCCGGCTAGCCAATCACAGGCCGGCACGGAAGTGGCATTGAAGTGTCACGGAAGTGTCACGAAACGCGGAAATGTTCCGTGACGCTTCCCTGACATTTCCGTGACACTTTCGTGGCATTTCCGTGGCATTACCATGACATTTCCATGTTCCGTGACGTTTCCGTGACACTTCTGTGACACTTCTGTGCCGGCCTGTGATTGGCTAGCCGAGTCACGTGGTTGGGTGGAGGGGTGGGGGTCATCCATCCTACCGGGGCTCCTACTCACCCTGTATATATATCCGGAAAGAAAGTATACACTTTGTTCCCGTGGGAAAATAGTTATTTATGTATTAAGGGCACAAAGTATGCGTTTATGGCCTGTGGCGCGAATAATGGCCCGATGGCGCTAGTCGAGGGCCATTACACTCCGAAGGCCATAAACGCATTTCACGCACGTGATACATACAAAATTGTATGCACTAGTGGTTTATTTTCTGACTCAAAAGTAATGACTATATATTTCGATAAACTAATATTCTCCCGAATTTAATTTGTTGCGTATAAATTCAGTAATCAAGAGAAGCGTAATGTTCATGGATGATTTACATATAAAAATTTCCGTACGAATGTTGCAATTATCGTAATAGTAAAACTCTTTGTTCTCTAGAAGAGATTCATTCTTCAGAATTTTACAATATGCATACCCAGTATATATACCTACCTAATTTTGACGTTGTCAAGCAAACTAATGGTTGTTGTAAAAATTAGTGATCATAATAGCGAGACTATGGAATCGGATAAAGAAGAAGTTAATGATATACCGCTGGATATATTAGGATCTAGGAAAAAGATCATAGGTTTTTCATGAATTGATATGTATGGATATAAGGAAACTGAGAACGACGGGCGGTAAAGTGCACTTTACGGCTCGTGGGCCATAATGAGCCCGCGGGCGGTAAAGTGCTACTTAACGCCCGCAAAACCGGGCGGTAAAGGGCACTTCACGGCCCGCTAGTGCATAAAAGTAATCTATGAAAAGTGACATTTCATAACTTGTCAGCCGAGATGAAATGTCAAACTTTTTCCCCGCCACAGAAATAATTTATTCTCTCTCATTCCAGGCAACGGCATCAGCAGCACGGGCACCGACCGCGACCGCTCGCCCTGCTCCCCCACCGCCACCGTCCTCTCGCGCTGCCACGACAACAACAACCACGACCCCATCAAGCGCGAGCCGCCCGCCGACCCGCCGTGCGACAGCCGCGAACCGCCCAGCGACGACTCGGCCGACGGGGCGAACGGCCTGGTCGCCCACGGGCTGGCCCACGGGCCGCTGTCGGGCAGCTCAGGCGACCCCGAGGACCAGGACGGCGCCATCGGGGCGTACTTGACGGCGGGCGAGGGGAAGATGTTCGCAGGCGCGGGGTTCAATTTCAGTATGGCGGCGCTGGCGGCGGATCCTACGGGGCTCGGAGGTGAGTGTGGTCATGTGTAGAGTCACTGGATGGTATCAGTTAGATAAGAGTTCGGACACAGCTGAACTTCTGTCCTTCTCTATTTTCTATAATTCAATGGTTTGAGTGAATAAAAGAATAAGACATACTATTCTGCTCTTTGTCTGATTGTCAGATTCGATTTTAGAGGTTACATATTCTTTCAGATCAATCATAGCCGTAGATGGTTCTTTTTCTTTTCAATTTCCCTAGTACAGGGTTTCTATAAATGATCGTAACATCGTAGTAGCCGTTGAAATATTTTCTCCATTTGCCGCCTTCCATTTATGGAGATTCACACATTCGAATTTAATTTCTGACATCAATCATTATACTGTCATAGCTGATAAACTACACAATTGTCAGTTTTTCGTTAAAATTTTCAAACGATTCTGTTTTCTACTTCGTGATTGTCGTGTTGAAAAGAGGGATGGCTTATTTCTCGGAGCACAATACATTTATTGTAATAACTTATTGTCGAAATGGCACATTCATCAATGGTGGATGGAGTTACTCGGTAGTAGCCTGCAAGGATGAGTACCTGGTGAAATATCCTAATGTACAGATTCAAGAATCTTCTTTGAAGCCCACATCAGAACAGTGCTTAACAGATCCATCCAAACTGGAAACGTTAATAAAAAGAAATCAACAGGAAGGCCTCAAATATCCGAAGAAGTTGTCGAAAATCTAAGGGCGCGTGTTGAGCAAAATTCCCAAACGTCATTGAAGAGATTATCTTTACAAACTGGTGTGCCGCTAAGTACATGCCATAAAGTGCTCAAGAAAAGATTGCATATGCACCCTTACAAGACTACTGTACTACAGAGACTTCTGCCAATAGATATCCCACGTCGTCTGGAGTCCTGCCAATGGTTCCAAAATAATCTCAACGATGACCAGCTATTGGACCTAACATTGTTCAGCGATGAGGCTTGGTTTCATTTGTCGGGATACGTACACTCACAAAATTTTAGGTTTTGGAGATCTGAGAATCCCCACAATTTCATTGAGACTCCACTACATTGAAAAAAAAATTCTCGTAGGCGAATATATGGACCGATTTTCTTTGATGGCACTATCAATGGTGAAAGGTACAGACAAGTGATGTTAGAACCATTCATCAATCAACTTGATGATGAAGAAATTCGAGTTGGCTATTTTCAGCAAGATGGGGTCACTGTCCACACCACACGTGCAAATTTAGAATATTTACAAGAATTTTATGACAACCGTGTGATAAGTCGAGGAGTTGATCCTTCTTTTCCAACACGTTCTCCAGATTTTTCGCCTTTGGATTTCTGCCTTTTTGGATATTTGAAAGACGAAGTATTCAAGAGAGACAATAATAACCTTGAAGGGCTGCAAGCCTCAATAACACATTGCTGCCAAAATATTGTCCGGAAATGCTGAGGAACATTTTCGACAACAAACGGCGAAGAGTTTTGAAATGCTTGGAGAACAACAGAGAACATTTTGAACATTTGATGTAGGTGAATGGAATAAACCGTTATTTATTACTTCTTTAATAAATATTTTTGATTTGTATTGGACTCTCCTTTCTTTGAGATACATTTCCATAGTGTATGCAAAACGATATAAAAAAGATCCTGTATATGATCACTTCCTCTCTTTTTGGTCGTTAAATGTTAACAGCATTAGTAGAAAGTATAGTCACTGGATGGTATTAGTTTGATAAGAGTTCGGACACAACTGAACTTTTGTCCTTTTCTATTTTCTATAATACAATGGTTTAAGTGAATAAAAGAATAAGACATATATTCTGCTCTTTGTCTTTTCAATTTCCCTAGTAGTGCCTGATTGTCAGATACGATTTTAGAGGTTATATTTTCTGTCAAATCAATCATAGCCGTAGATGGACAATGGAAATAGGGTACAAACACCCACTTCAATTTGTTGTGAAACACCTCTAGCAGAACAACAGTTATACAAATGAAAAGAATGCATGTTTAAACATTTCAATATTAGAAAATATACACATATGGATATACTTTTAGCTAATTCCTTATTATATGTGATACTTTACTCCAGTGATAAGTATAAAACATGAAGTTATTAATATGCAGTTAAAGGTAGCCATTCTCAATATACATGAAGTAACATAAGTACGTTCAAGTGAAGTATTCCTGAGACAATTTAAAGAAATAGTCTATATAAGCTTGTGTCCGGAAATGCTTCATTTCGGAGATACAGAGTGTTGAAATACAGAGAACAAATCATTTTTCGATGAATATTTATTCATTGGAGAAAAGTAGTTTATTTTTTCGAGGCCTACCACATACTTGGTTTTGTAAAGTTCTCAGCAACTTCACTTAGCGCCCTAGGAGCTGAGTAACAAGGATCGATATAGAAAATTGTAAATATCTCCTTGATACATAAATAACTATTCTCATTGGTTTCATGTTCACATAAATAGGTGCCCAAGTAGGTATAATAGATATGTGAGAACATAATATAGCTTCAGAAACTGTGAAAACTGGGAACACAGAGTTTTGCATTCATAATAAAAAATTCGCTAACTTCTTAATCCCATACTACGACTCGCTTTTGAATTACTTAATATTCTTCTGCTCTGTAAATGGATGGAACAGCAGATTCTCTCAAACGCATCCTAAAATCTTCTGTTTGAAAATGGGCCTAGAATATAGTTCTTCAGAATTCCCACAACTCATTAAAAAGCAGGACATTTCCATTTATACTTTTTTCTCAATAGTTTATGAAATTATAATTAAATTCTGACGTTCATAAAATGTATTGTCAAATTGAAACAATTTTGAATGAAATAGCGCAGAATGACTATGGTGCTCTTGTCACAATGCCAGGAGTGTAACTTAATGAATCTAAATGTTCGAAAACACTAAGAGTTGTCATTTCTATGTCCAAACTCTTATGTAACTAATAATATTCAGTGACTCAAGTCATGTGAATAGAATGGAATAAAATAGATTTATTTGAACATGTTACAAATCTTTGATGTGTTAGTGACAAGTCATAATGTAGGTAGAATTTTAGAATAATAATATGTATAGAATGAACATCTACAACTATTGAGTCAGTCATGCATTGCTAACTCGATTTTCAACACTTAATGACATACATTATCGTGATGAATTGAGTCATAATAGTAATAATGACGCATTCTGCTCGGTCTCGAAACGAATAAGTCTAATGGTCCTGATGAAATTCCACCCATTATTCTCAAAAAGTGTGCACCAGAATTGACACCTATTTTCTGCAAGCTATTCACCATCTCCTACAAGTCGGGTATTTTCCATCTTGCTGAAAAATAGCTAGATTCGAACCAAAGGAAGGCAGAGCCTGCCCAACAGCTATAGGCCAATTGCCCTGTTATCGGTCATCTCCAAAGTGATGGAAAAAACCATCAACATTGAGCTCATCAAATATCTGGAAAGCTCAGGAATCATCAATGATAGATAATATGGCTTTCGCCACCAAAGATCACCTGGAGATTTACTTGCCTACGTCAGCCATATATGGCAAACTTCACTTTAAAAACATGGGGAATCTCTAGTTGTAGCGCTAGATATATCGAAGGCATTCGACCGTGTTTGGCACCACGGACTGCTCCACAAACTACCATCATACATATCTATCTTGAAAGAGGAAGAAATCAAATCGAATCTTCTTGTTGAATTTAAATGAACAAATGTACTCCAACTGCATCTCACGAACTATTTGCTGTACAGGATTCGAAAAAAACTATTTGTTATGAAAGTGGCCTACAGAAATATCTGTAAAGTATTTTCAAGTTTTCAGGACGGCCGCTAGAGGGCGTAATTTCATTGGCCAGTTGAAAAAACAGGTTTTTATGAAAATTTGATGTATCAAAACATGTCTTGAACACTTTTCATAATCTCGAGTTGATTTCCAGTGCGCTAGCTCTTCAAATAAAAGAGGAAGGGAAATATGAAGAGCACTATGTAGAAACGCTTATTACTACAGATTTGTGAAACGGAATTCGAAAAACTTGGTTTCATTAAGAAGGGTCTTTAATTCTTTCAGATATATCACAAATCGAGTCAATTCAAATCTCGTTGAAAAATAAAATGAAATTTCTTGGAAAGTGGGGCAAACGAGAAGAAAAACGGTGGAAACTGCAAGGTGTCTCCAGGAACTGAAGATATCATCGAAATAATGTTGAAGAATATAAATTATAGGTAGCACTAGTGTCTTCCTAGATGTTCAAATTATCTGTCATTTTTTGTACATGAAATAAGTCTGTCGAGTGGATAACACTGCAACTTTCCTTCGCATTGGCATACTTCCGTCGGCATCTTTGATCCTACTGATTATATCGTTCCTAGTAGTTGGCCGGGTTTTAGAGAACTATATTTTTCAATATCCCTCATGAATGGAAATCAAATCTGAAGACCTAGCTGGCCACCCAAACACGCTATTTCTTTCTATCCACTTGCCAAGATATCTATATATAATTTATATACATTCAAGAGTCACTTAAAAGTTCGGATACAGAAATGACAACTGTGAGTGTTTTTGAATGTTTAGGTTTATTAAGTTACACACCTTGCATTGTGACAAGAGCACCATAGTCGTCCCGCGCTTTTTTATTCAAAATTGTTCGAATTTGACAATGCATTTTATGAACGTCAGAATTGAAATATAATTTAATGAACTATTGAGAAGAAAGCATGAATGAAAATGTCCTGCTGTGTTATGAATTTTGGGAATTCTGAAGAGAATGGATTTCATTTATTTAGTTTTCCAAAAGAAATATCAACCATTCTCATATGGAAGGAATGTATGAAACGGCCTGGATGAAAAATTAATTTGAAGACAAGCACAATTTGTGAGGTACATACATTAAAATTCACTTCTCATGGCATTAGATTTGAATAAAACTATATTTTAGGCTCATTTTGACAGAAGATATTAAGATCCGTATTAGACATAATCTGGGTGTTAATACCCAATTTATATTTTCCATCTACGGCTATGATTGATCTGAAAGAATATGTAACCTCTAAAATCGAATCTGACAATCAGACAAAAAGCAGGATAGTATGTCTTATTCTTTTATTCACTCAACCATTGTATTTGAGAAAATAGTAAAGGACAGAATTTCAGTTGTGTGCGAACTCTTATCTACTATTACCATCCAGTGACTCTAATACATTCAGAGTAGAATGTGCCGGGCATCCATTGAGAGTTTCATTGAAAATAAGTCCTTTTCCGTCTTTAATTCCGCACCAAACATTCACACTCCATCGACCTTGATATTCAACTTCCTGCATCCAATGAGCAGGAACAATCGTGGAAACTGCAGTGTTATCCTCTCGACAGAGACCCCGTCCATGGATAAAAAAATAGAGATAATTTGAACATTTAGACCTAGCGGTACTAATTATTTCAGTACCTATGTAATAATATTCTCCTTCTTCGTATATCGATCTACTTATATCTTCGATTCCTCGGGAGATATCACTCCTTCTAGTGGCTTTCCTTGAAAACTGAAAATAATTTCTAGATATTCCTCTTGGCCACTCATTTTTTTTTTCGAGAGGTGTGCAACATATGGTTTCCGAGATACAGCCGGCGTCTTTTCTTAGTTGTACAACCGGAACATTGATTTTTTTTCATAATATTTTTTTTTTCAGGTTTAAATCACTCTCTACAAGGAAATGATGGTTTGGCAGGCACCTCACAAGGTAAGAAACCCATTTTTTTATCTTCTGAGTGTTGTATGTGATGTAGTGTCAGTTAAGGTGACGTGTAATGTTGTATACTACTCCAGATATTATCAGATTACAGTTATATGAAAAGAAAACAGCTACATCGATCTGATAATATTGTTCCGTCTCTTTTCGATAGTTATTTAACAACATTTTGTCGAAGAGGTCTTACATGGAACGATTTTTTTTTCAAAAATCGAAGATTTCTACGAAAAAATGTTGTCTGTATTTGGAATGTGTTTTCTCTTGTGTGTTTTTGTATTTTTGTCCCTAGTCTGTTCTTGTGTTGATTTTTTCTATTTTGTTTAATCTGGGGAAGCCATCTGAAAAGTAAACAGCCTAAAATACGTAGCTTTGCATCTGCACTCCTAATACCTAGTGTGTTATTCTTACTTGTATTGAAGTGTTAGGAATTTTGTAAATGGAGTTTTGAGCATAGAGGATTTTGAAAAAAAAAATATTAACCTACTGATTTGAATGATTTCCAATGTTTCTCTCGTCATTTGTCAATTTCAGAATTGGATAATAATTGAAAACTACTTTACACTTCTTAAGCTTCTAGTATCCAACAACGCGATTGGACATACAGTCTGTCTATAAAGTAACCCCCTCTCGACTTTTGAACGATGTTGTTCTATTTAGATTTGTTTCGCCTCATAGAAACTGATTTTCAGACCCTTAAAACGTGCTTATCTCTGATACCGGCGCCATTTTTTGTGGAATGGTAGTTGACAGATATGATTTATCTGTACAGTAGTGAAATTTAAGGCATAAATATTCATTCAGTATAAAATGGCGTTCCATGTAACTTCCCATATCATTTTGTATCCAAAATAGAGAAAAGAAACAATGTCAGTCCATTAAAAAATTAGCTTGCTTGCTGATGAGTGAACAATACTCTATTCATGTTGTGTCTCCTTTGTTCGTTCGTTTTTTGCCCTGACCACCACCAATGACTATATTTCTCTAGATTTTCGTGATTTCCTCTCCTCGTCTATTGAAATAATACTAATATTTGTAGTTTTACAATTGGCGAGAGAAAATTTCGAAAATTTAGAAAAATGGATATTCTACCTCCTCGATTAACCTTCAGGAAGTCAGTACCAATAACCAGCTCACAATAAATTACAAAATGGCTCCTATTGAAACAGTCAGAATCTACGTTTCAAATGGATGAGTTAGCTTCTTACCCTCATAGCGGTTCCAAAAACTAGCATAAGAGGTCGGCTACTCCGTGATTGTCGATATGGATTTTCCAACATGGAACACTATTTTTTCCGGATGAATATTTTTATCTGGAATTGTTCTAAAGTATAGAGAATTAACGTTTCTATTGAGATTTAAATCTACTCACCATGTCTGATGAAATTCTTTCAAAATGGCGCCCAGTGGTCATTTCAAAAGATTGCCACTGTTCATGGACCTCAATGAGCAATTTCTGAACTACCATTGGGACAGAGGAGCTTTCAGAATTGAAAAAGGTGGGTTACATCATAGACACACTGTATAATTATAAATTTTTAAATCTATGTTGTGAAAACGGCTAAATCATAACATACAGTTAAATTTTCTCCTCCTAATTCAGTTAATCCTATGCTTGAACCTCCTTGTAAACAAAAATCTTAGATAAGTTTAAAAAATACGAATATTGTATCATCTTGACTGGACCAACATATTGAAACAATCGAAGAAGAAATGTTTCGAAATCCCGTGAAGGTTTGCAGAACCATTTTTCTGATAATTTCCGAAAATGCTGTTACCCAACATACAAGAGAATGAAATAAAATTCAAGCTGTTTGAATACATTTGTATCCTAACCATAGTTAGATTTCTGGTCGGTGGAGCAATTTGAAGAACAAACTCATATGAACCTGGACAAGTACCTACCTTGTAACTGAAGCAACAAAAATAAGCTAAACCAACAGTAGATTTTGCCCAAATATTACATCGATACCATATTTGAAATTTCACTGGAGTACTATTTCGTACAAATTTAAACGCACAATTGAATTTGATTCTACGATATATCTAAGACATTCAGAAAATGATAATATATTATACGTTCCTGGATAAAATCATGTATACTGGGTGTCCAGATCAAGATTCATGGACCTTTGGACCCTTGATATATAAATAGATATTAATCTAAAATATAGCACAATTGAAAAGCTACAACAACAAGATTGTCATAGATTATCCCAATGGCTACCGTTTGTTTTGTTCCCTTGCTAAAGCAGTCGAAAGAAATTTCACTAATTGTTCATTTCCACCACTCTCTAAAGTCGACGGCACATTAGCAACAACATCGCAAGCAAGCAAGAGTGGCGGAATAAAAAAAAAATTCCACCTATTATTCTCAAAAAGTGTACAGCAGAATTGACAGCGACTCTGCATGTTATTTACCATCTCATCCAAATCGGTTGATTTTCCATCCTCTTGGAAAATAGCAAGAGTCCGAACAATCACCAAAAAATTAAAGAAAAACCTACCCAACAACTATGCCTATCAAGCCATCAAACATCCGGATAGTTCAGGAATCGTTATATTGCTTCCGCCATCAACTATCAATTGGAGAGTTATTTTTTTTTATCGCTTGGAGCGCACGAAAGGGAATCCCTATAATGTTCAAAGAACATCGTGCGTTCCTAGGGAGGATAGGGACAGGAGGTAGGTATTGGACTTTTTTTTGAACTTTTGGAAATTATATGTTGTTGGGAATACTTCCACAGGCAATGAATTCCAGAGCCTAGCCGTTCTATGGATGAAAGAGTCTTGATAAAGTGCTGTTCGACATCTTTCGAGGTTGACAACGAAAGGATGTGCTGACTGGGCTTGTCTAGTTCGTCTGATTGGTATTGCTAGTGAAGGGATGATAGCAGAGATTTCCGAAGAACATTTCCCGTGGAAGTATCGATAGAAAAGTGAAAGGTCGCCGACCTTTCTACGGTGTTCCAATGATGTCAAAGAGTGAGTGAGTGTGGCGTCACCCACCAGGCGAATGGCTCTTCTCTGGATGGAATCTAAGAGCATCAGCGTATGTTTTGGTGCTGAACCCCATATGTGGGAACAGTATTCTAGAAAAATATGGGAAATTACTAGCTGTGGCGTTAGATATTTCGTCATATGGCTGACCACTTCAGCTATGTCATCTATTATCCAGTTATCTTTCAGGCAGATCGCTCTATGTTGTGGTGGACTGAGTATCCTCTGATACCATAGTCATCAGTTCCGGCGTTCCACAATGATCAATTTTGACACCAACATTATTCCTACTGGATGTCAATGATATGTTGAGAAGACCCACTAGACCTATTCACAGCTTCTTATAAGACAGAATATCCAATTCTTCCAGGAAACTTAGAACTCACTACGAAGTCAATAAAGATCTTGCTGGAACTGTAGCTTGAGGAACTAACAATCTAGTTGAATTCAACTCCACCAAAACTCGAGCCTGTATTTTCTCTAGAAAAGCGGGTCTTCAACAATGGTTGAGTGCCACATGACCATTTTTTGTGCTGCTTCTCTTTTCCACCCACGTTAAAGAGATACGAATATAGGAAGGAAACACTTACGATTTTATTCGTCTTTACGAATTATTGCTTAGATTTCGGGAGAATGTAATCCAATGTTCTGCGTGGCATATAACCAGGAAAGTAGTTGTTTTTCTCTCGTTATCTACCATTTTCGTTCATTTTATGAACTATTGTGGTAATGACTTTGAGTTCCTCTCTCTTTGTGACCATTGCATTCCATTTTGGGTATTTCCTCGTTGAAAATTCGCCAGTCGGGCAACCGTCCACTCCCATTTCACCTGAAAGGGGATCTTGTTTTTTGAAGTGTTTCTGTCCTTGCCAGGTGGCGTTCGGCGTTCGCGTTCATTTCGCGGGCATTGAACGCCTCGTGGGGTACACATGCTGAGAAGCGATTAGATTGGGTCAGGTTCGCACCAGATAGCGGTCAAGAATGCTTTCTGGGACAGCCCTGCACTGATGAGAGCCAACAGCTCGAAACCGTTCTGAAGGTAGTCACGCATTCCTGAACCACTTAGGCGCAGCTCGACGTTTAGGATGGAAACGATCTTATTCGTCTATACGAATTATTGCATATATCTCGGGAGGATGTAATCCAGTGTTCTGCGTGGCATATAGCCAGGAAATTAGTTGTTTTCCTCTCGTTCATTTTATGGACTCTCCCGTTATCATTTTCGTTAATTTTATGAACTATTGTGGTAATGATTTTGAGTTTCTCTCTCTTCAAGATACGAATGTATTCTTGGTTTCCCATAAAATAAACCCTTCCATTGGAAAATCATGTCAGATCCATCGCGAATGCTGCTTACACCTCAACAGCTTCTCATCTTCAGCACCCATGCGCTGATGCTCTTAGATTTCATCCAGAGATGAGCCATTCGCCTATTCAAACACATTTATTCAAAAATCCACGGTAAATGTTCTTCAGAAATCTCTGCTCTCATTCCATTCCTGGTAATACCAGGCAGACGTACTCGACATGCCCATTCAGCACATCCTTTCATCACCAACCTTGAGATATGCCGAACAACTCTTTACCAGAACCCTCTCGTCTATACAACGGCAAAACTATGGAGGTCCTAGCCGAAGGAAGGATTCCCAAGAAGTCTCCAAAGATTCAAAAAACATTTCGATACCTACCTTCTTTCCCTATTCTTCCTAGTACGCACGATGTTTTGGTAATATAATAGAGATTCCCTTTCATGCGCTACAGTAGAGAAAAAAATGGCTAAACACACTACCGAGCTACTTCCTTCGTATCAACTTTCATACAGGGTGGTATAGAGTTCATTTGCAATCAAACAATGTGAAGTTTTATCTGTAGAAACAAAAGCTACTTAATTGAAATTTTGTGAACACGTTACTATTGGCAGTGTGAATATTTCATGATATGCGCACCGACAATAACGTGTTCGTCTAATTTCGAATTAATAGCTTTTGTTTCAGAACACATTCTTTCACGACAAAATGAAAAAATAACTGTGTAATATTTCCTATATTCATTTCATTTTCGATGTTAGGCAAGTTAAACCCGAGACACTGTATATACTAGGTAGGGCATAAGTGAGTCGGATTGCTCGGGTCCTAAAATAGCTAGAAACATGAATCAAAAACGAATGTAAAATAGAGGGTCAAAAAATGATGGCCACATATACAGGACGCACCAAAGAAAATCTAGAGAGTCGAAGGCCATTTCTTCAAATAGAATGCACATAAGCACAATTTTTAAGCATTTTTGTGACTTCCAAAAACTCATCGAATATTATGGACTGTCTCAATCACCTGAAAGTTGTGATTTTTTGTTGAAATAATGTAATTTTCATATGCAGACTAGAAAATTCTCTGACGTCATAATTATAAATATTGAAAGAAAATATAGGATATATGTGTAAAGGGTGTGCCAAATTGGACACTTTCAAAGGGAAAGCAATATTCTCGAACCAGAAAAACTCAATGGTGAAATCCGCATATCGATATCTGTCTTCGTTTCGGAGTTATAAGGTGTTTTCCGAAAATGGGCCTTTCTGAAAAGTGGCTACAGATATTTTTTTTGCCGAAATTGTCTGTTCTTATGAAAATTACTGCAAAGCATTGAGGTTGTGGTAAAAATTGTTCTCGTGGCACTGAAATCGGCCTTCCTATATCTAGTTCAATACTATAACTTGTTCTTCTTGAAAGAAAAGTTATATTTTGTAACTTGGTATACGATGACTAATTTCTGTGCCTGAGGATTTTTGACAAACAACAGAGTTTTAGGCACTTTTTAAAAAGTCACATTCAGGAAAAACACCTTCTAACTCTACTCTGAAATGTGAATTGATCAACAGGCACCAACATCAGTTTTTTGTTCTATCTTGTACGGGAATAGGACCTCAATCGTGCCCAATTTGGCCCACCCTGTACATAATCAGGGTTTCACATGTCACCCATTGTTATTGACATTCATCTTCATCCGCCTTTGAAATGAGTTTTCTGTTGCTCTTAGACACATATTGAAAAAAAGGTCATGAGATAACGAGACATAACGACACGGAATGAAGTCACATTAAAACTCTGGTTATTTTTAGAAAACATTACATTTGTAAATATAAACAACTCGATGATTAGAAATATCCATGGGGATTTGAATACAAAAAGAATTCACTTTCTAATTCTGCATCATATGGACGAGCTTCGCTCTCGCGTTTAATCATTCTTGCGCTAATAATACAATAAACAAATGTTATCACATTGATTTCTTCATCCCATATCGACCATGCATCTTATATTTTTCAGTTGCATTTGCATCGCCTTTTTGAAAATCTATTATAGTCCCTATCTATAGGTATAGAGACAATAATATTAGTTGACTGTTTGTGCAAGCTTTTTATTTTTAGTTGGTATTTCATTCTTCAACGTCAGTTCGTGAACAGTCAACTGATAATTATTTTCTCTATATCCAGGTGAAACCGTCAAAGAAGAAGAAGAGCAAACCGTTGGTGAGAAATGTAAAATTTGCGGTAAAGTTTTGAGGAACCGGATAACACTCCGTAGACACATTAAAGATCTGCACTATGCTCAGACGGAAGAGTTCTGGTGCAAGATATGCAACCGCTGCTACAGAACTAAAAATAGTCTAGTGGTGCATACATGTAACTACCATCAAAAGAAAACCAAAACCAAACTTGGTTTGCTAATTGATTGATCCGTTGAGAGTTATCTGACATGTAAGTTTGCACATTTATACTTATACTAACTTTTAATGAACTTTGCATCTAAGTTTTCATTTATATATCGTAGTCGATCAGGCTTCAAAAGCACTAAGACATTGTTGATCTAAATAAAAAAGCAAGTAGGCGTGTAGGTGTAATATTGTCTGCTCTTTAAAAACATGTGAAAAGCTCCCCTAATGTGACAGGTTTCTGTAACGTAAAAACATTTATATGACCTGATTTATTGATTCATTATTCCTAACCTACCATCCAACAGAAATAATTCAGAGACAAGAAGTCAAAACATTCAGATCTGTAGTAGGGTTCAGTTTGGAAAAAAATGAAAAACATGATTTCAGCCTAAAACGGCGTCACTGACGAATATACATAGATTGAAATAAATAATGAGCTGTGAGCTATTAGTTGTGTCTTATTTATCCGATTTCGCCACCGAGATTACTTTAATGAGTCGTTTTATTTGCAACTTTTCTGATTCTGGTTGCTACTTTTCATTTCCCCTCACTACAAGGAATGACTTGGAATGACAGTTGTCAAAAACTCAAATTTGATTGACGAGAAACGAAACTTTTTGAAAATAACAGACATTTAGAGGACATTTTTATCGTGAGGTTCACTATAGTTTATGAACTCCTTCGAGTGAGCCAGGTTTCATATGTCTCAATTTCTTCAATCACTACAATCACCACAATCACTGCTCCAAATATTTCTTGATTTATTTCGTAGATTCCCAACTCTAGTATTATGATTTTGAAATTATTTGAATCCCCAATGTATAAATATAAACCCTTATGTAAATTTTCTCATGCAAGGTCAGGAAGTTTCTCGTTTTATTTGTAAACGTCATTCTGTTTTCACCACCGCCAGCAGAATGGAACAAATAAAACGCAACTATTGACAGCTCTCCCTTCGCAGTAGCGACAATTACAAATAAATGTAATTATCAACAGTTTGGGATATAAAAACCCTTATGTAAATTTTCTCATGCAAGGTCAGGAAGTTTCTCGTTTTATTTGTAAACGTCATTCTGTTTTCACCACCGCTAGCAGAATGGAACAAATAAAACGCAACTATTGACAGCTCTCCCTCTGCAGTAGCGACAATTACAAATAAATGTAATAATCAACAGTTTGGGAATTACTACGCATTGAGCAGAAGCGTTTACAGGCAAGCAAGTTGGATGACATTTTCGGGTTCTTGGGATATGAGAGGCCGGGTGGCCACACTCAAGACTCAAATGAAAAATGCCTAAACACGTCGAATTCTGTTTATATGGACGTCATCTGTTCCAGTAATTTAGACTGGATCATATTGAGTGGTTCGCCACTAACAATACTAACATTTCGAAAACGAATTGAGCAAGATGCAAAAACAAAACAGAGTTATTATCGGAGAAATCGACTAACTTTAACGAATTTTCACAAGAGTATATTTTTTGCTTGATCAGAAAATTATTACCTCTAGAAATTAAGAAACGACATTGATAAAAAAATATGGCCATTCTGAACCATCCATCCATTGGTAAGAGCCCTCCAATGGCCACAGTGAACAGGTGTCCGTATTCGTAGTTCTCATTCAAAAACACCCCTGGATATCAATTTTGGAAGTAATTCGTTACAAAATGTTCATACATCCTGAGAGAAATCTCGGAAATGGAGCAATTTCAGACTGAGGAATATGTGCTGAGATTTTGTACAGACCTTTTATGTTCAAATATAAAAACAATTTACACAAAAAGTCGTAGAAAATATACATAGAAATATATAAATGGAAAAAAATACCGACTATGTTCTAAATCAATTTAAAATTAAAAAAAACAATACATAAACATTTGAAAATTTTAAAATTTTGGATCGATACATGTCGATAGTAGGTACATAGAGACTTAGTTTCTACAATTATAGTGTTATTCTTTGCATAAGACATGAATTTTTATCTGTGTCTTCAAGTTTTCCAGGTCTATTTAGGTACTAATATCAGAATAAGAATTCGCCATGATAATTGGAACTGCTTCAATAACCAATATTATTATGGTCACCAGACTAAGCCTGATTGTGATGATGTTAAATTATTTTGTATTTTGAAATTAATATAACTATCAATGAAATGTCAAAACGGAATCACTCAATGAGACACTAAAACATCAACTAAAAATTTCTCTGACCATGGCTAACCACGTTCATTGAGTTTTAAAACCCAACCAACTAGGCCAGTCACATGATTGGGTCCAAATTATTGCTGACCAGAAGTCTAACTTGAAATTGTAGCCTACACCTAAAATTGACAACTTGGTAAAGTCCATACCAGAAATACCTTGAAGGGACCGTGTGTACATAGCTTAACGAAAGTAACGGCACAAAGAGGCTAATGTAGCTTCTTCCTCTGTCAGGTTTGGACGACTTTCGATGTCAACCGTGCAACAAAAGCCTCAGCTCGCTAACGAGACTCAAGAGACATATACAGAACGTACACATGCGCCCCTCCAGAGAACCAGTTTGCAACATATGCAAGAGGGTATACAGCAGCCTAAATTCCTTAAGGAACCACAAGAGCATTTACCATCGGAACGTTAAGAACATAAAAACCGAGGACATGATATCACCCCACCCGTTTTATCTCTGAGGCATATAGAAACCATGCGCTGAAATGTCTTTGTCTGGGGTGTTTTTATTTTTGAATGAGGAACATGCCAGATTTCTTTGATTCGATAGACCCGAGTGTGTTTGAAGGCGTACAAAATATTTTTATATGTTCCGACTTATTTTTATTTATTCCATGTATCGATAGGTTGTTATTGTTTTTGAGATAAGTTTATCTTTGGAGAACTGGAAAATGGACAAAATATTATGTTGTATTTAGATATCTCATTGATTCCTAGTAATACTATTATATAGTTATGTTTATGTTATGATTCTTTCAAGTAATGTTTAATTTGAGCTGTCTAAATAGAGTTACCAATATTGTCTACTATAAAAATAGTATTATTGGTATACTAAAAATATTAACTCTTCATTTAGATCTGCTTACTAAAAAGTTCCTAATATATTCAAAAAAATTGAATTATGGTCCTATATACAATAATCAGATAGATCATTTATTCACTTATCACATATTGGAGAGTCCGTAAGACTGATCTCGAATATATCATAATTGATCATCCTTTCATTATTCATTCCATTGTTCCGGTTGGTTTTTGTCCATTTTTCAGAATTACCTTTTAGAAGCCGAATGTTATTAAGGTAATATATTTATAAAAATCAAAAAGATATACATATAGTATGCTTCTATGTATAAATGCTTAACAATAATTTTATACATGCGATATTAATCGTAGGCTATAAAAAAAGTTATATAAGTAATTGCAGTATCACAACTTCAACGTCATCAACAACTAAAGTAAAATCAACCACTATTGATATAGTTACTAGTCTGTAACAATGATTGAGAGCCACGTTACAGATTTCACATCAACTTCTTCTCGCCCTTCATTGGTCTTCTACTGTTTGGATCCATCAATAATGATATTTGGATATCATCTGAGAAACATGGATACCATCAATTCATAATTTGCTTGATGAATCTTCATATATACTTTCCTGAGAACTAAATGTTAGAAAAGCTGCCATATTCAGACAAGATGTTTTTTAATTTTTCTTTCTACAGCACACAAAATCAAAATGACTACATGAAATAGTAGAACTGGCCACATATTCAAATATTAAAAAGAATTTGCCCCTTCATCTTCTAGGCGAGTGGGCCATCAAAACCTTTTCAAATGTTTCAATAGTTTTCATCTCATTGCCAAATTTCGGTTTTATGAACATTGAGAATTTGTGATCTTGGCTGTTACTTACATAACCCTAAAATTAGTTGCTTGCGTTCAGCGGCTGGTTCGACCGCAGCGCATTTGGACGACAGCAGTGAGAGAAGCTCTCGATCGAAATGTGATCACGTGATACAGATTGACAGATCGAGAAAGTGACCAACGTCGGACATGTTGCTGAACGCGGGCGAGATGAACAGAGGTGATAACCCGACATTGCTACCGAATGGCGGGTGATCTGGGAAGCCCCGAGCAGATGGCGCTATCTATCGGTTCATTTCTTTGCAGTGACCAAGGATGATATTACTACAGAAGTTCATTCGGGCTGCTTTTTTGAGCCGAAGGTGTAAAATATTAACTCATGAAAATTTGGACAGATATGTCAAGTTACGTGAATGTCCAGCTTTTTAATTTTTATAATACTCCGGAAATTATGCAAGTTGCAGAATATATAAAACAAAAAAAAAGTATTCAGTAAATGAATACTTACCTGAAATTTGAATCCAGTGGCTCAAAATACCTTTTGAAGAATAACTACACATAGGTATATATCTAACTTAAAGAATATGAATCGGTTAGAGAAGGATGAGTTCGATGACTTGCTACGCAAAACAATTCATTGTGATGAAAATATATTCATAAAAAGAGCTCAATCTACTCATTCATCATTCATTAATTGTTTCCTGATATATTTATCATCTTATTCAAGTGCCGGAAGCATATATCCTACATTTCTCTATAATAAAGTAGGTAAAATGAGTAGATCAGATCACAGCTGTACAAGAATTCACTTGAACTTAGCCTTTCAGAAAAACAGTGTGTAGTAAATATTGCAAACACTTTTAGTTTTTGCTATAACACGATCATTATTGCATCGTGAATGAGATATACTATTCTGCCAGGCAGGCACATTTATAAATACCTACTGGTATCAACTCTTGAAAACCATCATATCACTAAAGATGGACTTCTTACGAAAATACAGCCATTCACATATTACAGCTGTCAAAGAGGTCCATCAGTAACGTCACAGCAACTCATTGGTTGGTTGACATTGAGTCTCATTGGAATGAACTACCCCTCTGTAGTCATATTATCCTTGTCTTGTGAATATTTTTTCTCATGAAAGTAAGTAAATAATTGTAATTGAAAGTCTCAACGTTGTATTATGCTCCTCGAGACTGGCTGGACATAGTTTCTCAACAGTCAACCGTCAATTCATTGTTTGAATCATTGACATTCCTAGCGCCACCATGCGGAAGCAATAGCGGAAATCACTGTCGTTACTACCTTGTCACAGTTTAATCCTATACAGATCCAGTTATATCAGTCGATGAAATCGTATACCCAGGCAACAACAACTCATGGAGTGCCATTTGTGGCCGTGTCATGTGCCATCGAGCTGTGCAGCTGAAGTTGGTTAGTCAGCCCATGACTCACGGGTTCCAGAAGACGGATTTTGATAACTAATATTCAAGGATATTTTGTGTCTTGGTGTTGATACAGCCAATATATATGGGTGTTGTTCCTGGATGTTTTTTTTGGAGGACAAATAGTGCACTTTCAGAAGGCAAAGGTGCACATTTTTTGTAATAGATTTTTACTAGTTATATTACATATTTCCAAATTTTTTACGCATGTGCAAAAAAATATATTCCGATACTTATATGTGACAGTGATGACAGACTGATGCAAGGATTAAAGCTGGATTTCCATGAATGCATGGTGCTACTTTCACAGTTCCAATTGGGTTGCAACTATCTTATCCATTTCGATTGTCGACTTCATTTATTAATTACCATTATATTAATTCATATAATAATCAAAAATCTTCATAGAGGGAGTCAGGGTCAAACCTACATCTCACATAGTCAAGTCAGCTGTCAGAAAGTCACACATCACAAAATCCCAATGGGCAACAATGGCAACTCTCAATACTGACATTCGACACTATTGGACAGATTTTAAATTTCATCCACTTCTCAATAGTTGCGTTTTATCCATCTGATTCCGCTACCGGAATCACTTCAATGTGTCGTTTTATCTGCGACTTTTCCGATTCCGGTTGCTACTTTTCATTTCGTCTCACTACAACGAATGACTTGGAACGACTGTTGACAGTTGTCAAAAAATCGAAACTTTTTGAAAGCAAATGACATTTAGAAGACATTTTCATCTTGAGGTCCACCAGTTCATGAGACAAGACAGGTTTCTATGTTCATTCCCAGATAAAATTAATTATCTAGATCTCAGAGAAGTTTCTCCAATCACCACAATCACTGCTTCAAATATTGGTTGATTCATTTTCTTTATTCTTAACTCTAGTATTATGATTTTGAAATTATTTGGATCCCCAATACACAAATACAACCTCTTATGTAAATTCTCTCATGCAAGGTCATGCATCTTCTCGTTTTATTTGTAAACGTCATTCTGTTCCCACCACCGCTACCAGTATGGAACAAACGAAACGCAACTAATAGTAAGTGACATTGCCATTCGACAAATTTTATATTTCTTCTTCCCAATTACTTTGAGTACAATAGCAATATTCTTTTTACCTTGTTACATTCTCACTACTGACATCAATCTAGTTAGAAGGAGGTGAGACGGATCTGAGTTGTCGATTGAATAAAAAGAACAGGTTTTTATCTGTCAGGAAGGGCGAGGGAAGAAAACATAACCCAACATAATTCAACCAAAATGTAAAATGGCTGAGAAAATTAATGAGGAGCATAGAAATATTATTGTAGTGAGTATTCAAAGGATTCAACCTGTGAACTGAAACTTCAAAGCTGAAAGCATGTCAAAATCAAAATATAACCTCACAATTTTCAGCACAGAACCACAGAATTACTAGAATTGATCTAGTCTCACCTTTGTCTCACTACAACACCAAATGAATAGCAATCTCAGTTGGGGTGAGTGGAAAGAAATAGTCGAAATAAGTTCTAAAGACAACTCACATCAGACTAAGAATACAACTGAGTTATTGCTGCACTGAGAATCTTGGTTAATCTCAGTCAAAGTTGGTAAAAAGGATATTACTAATCAATTTCTGGTAGACAATTTCAAAGAAAATGAAAAGTGCACTTTTTGGACGAAATAAGGAAAGTGGTGCTGCAGTGCGTACTGAATTCACAAATGGCGTCAAATTGCATAATCGTGCAGCCAGGAACAACACACTGGGGTAACGAACATCAGAGGTGCCGACTGCTGGATCTGTAAGCATTCGACTGTGATCTTGTATAGATTTTAAGACTTGCTTGACCGATGATAAAGCGGGGGCCTAATAGGATCTTGTCTGTTCTCGGTGTTCGGTGGACACACAGCTCGTAGGCTGAGCTTTCCGCTGCCTCTGAACGCCAGCCACCGATGCGACGTTTGCGGCAAGCTGCTGAGCACCAAACTAACCCTGAAACGACACAAGGAGCAGCAGCACCTGCAACCGCTCAACAACGCTGTCTGTAACCTGTGCCAGAAAGTGTTTCGGACTCTTAATTCGCTCAACAATCACCGGAGCATTTACCATCGGAGACAGAAATGAACTCTTCCTGTTAGGCATGGTGTCCTGTTAAGCCCCCGCTATGACGCTTTTCGATTTGTCAAGCAGTCGATATATCTGTTATTGATAGTTAGACTTTAAACGTAGGGATGTAAAGATAATGGAGATGTATGTATTGCATAGTTTCATAGTTTGGGGAAACGTTGTTGACAGTAAGTAGTTGCTGTCGATGCTGATGCTGAAAAATTCGACTACAGGACGCAAGCTTGAAAGCCTGAAAGGACCTTGACAAAT